ATTGAAATTATACCCCCTGCGCATTTAAACAAATTGCTGTGTATATTTTTCATGATTGTGCGGGATCTAGATGGCCAGGAATATGAACCTGCCTCTATCAGAAGTATAGCCTGTAGTTTAGATCGATAACTGAATTTGAAAGATTACGGGAAACAAATTTCAATAAGCCCCGAGTTTTCTAAAGCTATGGATGCTATCCGGTCTAAACAAAAAAACTGAAACATGAGGGCAAAGGGAATCGTAAAAACAGGGCTGATGCTATATCTGATGACGAGATTGACGGGAACCAGATGACACCACTTTATGTGTGTGTATAAAAGCGCGCCTAATATAGTCCGCGATTTTCTACGATTATATAGACAGTTCAAGTTTATCAGACAACTAATCGTCATTGTGTTATTATGTGTAAACTTTAAAATTGTGAAAATCATAAAGAAATAAATTATTTATCATAATATATGTTTTTGAATATTATTTGGAGCCTTTTCAATCCGATTGATATCTCTACGCCACATTTGCACATGTCAGCAAATTGTTTACACACGTATGCATGTGTTGGTAGAAACAGATTACACAACGAGTTGTTGTTGGATACGGCGTTAATTTCACTCTCGTTAGTTATTCGCTAAAGCTCGTGTCTTTTGTAACTATCAAAAAATAACTAACTCGAGTGAAAAAACGCCGTATCCAACAATCACTCGTTGTGTAATCACTATATATAGGGGATGCGTATATGATGATCAACTGAAAAGTTTCCAGGGTGAGATATTTCATATATACATATATGTGGATATGTATATAATGATCATCTAGGAGGAGATTTACCATAAATTCAGAGGGATGCATATATGTTGGCCGTTCGGAAAGTGTCTTTGGGGAGGGGAGATTATCACATATATATGTATAAGGATACATGTATGAAGGCTGTTCGGAAAGTGTCTTTGGGGAGGGGAGATTATCACATTTATATGTATAAGGATACATGTATGAAGGCTGTCCGGAAAGTGTCTTTGGGGAGTGGAGATTATATATATATATATATATATAAGGATACATGTATGAAGGCTGTCCGGAAAGTATCTATTTGGAGATTTTTCATATACAGCTATCCTTCTGCTACCAAATTTTTGCTGTTTTCATCAACAATATTCAAAATCGAAACATCGTTTTGTTATATTTTCTATCCTTATTTTCTATATTTGGTTTAATTAAATGCATTCGCCCAGATCATCCTTAATTGAAACAGCAACCTGTTCGCTTAAAATACAAATCCGTGTGTCTCAATCCCAATTTTGTTTGGTTTGTTTTGATTAGTTTAGCTAAAAACGGGGCAATGGACATGTATCTCGCCCATGTATAAATCCATGATATCTGTTCTTAAAATCTGATGTCCAGATCAGATATAACGGTTTTCAGGCAAATTAATATGTAAAAGCTTAACTTGTAAGGCTTTGTCCTGCTTTTGCTATAAAACCGCTCTCATTTTTAAAAATTCTGATTAAATCAATATCACCCGATTTTCCATAGCGCTTAACCAGGTCTTCATGAGGTTAACCCTGGATATACTCATAGACGATAGCTGTACCCATCTTTGCTGCTATGCAATATCAAAGATGTATGTCGTTGAAAAATAATTGATACATTTTGTGTCAACAAAAGAAAATATGACCATTTCGACAAGCCTACGCTATGATATGTAATTTCTTTATTTATTCATCTATATGTGTAATGAATATTTAATGAAGGGCAGCAACAGCTAACAAGTTGCAGGCTCTGACCAAGAACAAACATTAATATTAGAAGAAAAAGCTAATCTGAGAGTTTGGTTACACTTTCATGAATATTGCAAAAGCCGTACATTTTTCATCGAATTCATCTAAGAGACATACTTGTGCAAATACACATTGCTTTTAAAAAACAATGCCTCGTACATTAATGGTCAAATGATATTGTTTCAGAGCCTTGTAAGAACTTCCATACTGCAATGTTTATCGTATATTGCTTGTCTTGTATACTTAGGGTCACCTGTGGTCAGATCAGCACCTAATAAACCATCTTCTAAGGAAAGTAAAACTCTGGGGAAGGCCAGATCTTTTTAGTTTTAAAATGCCTGTAAATCAATTTGGCATTTAGATAGCTACGCTGATCCTGTTTCCCTTTAGCAGACTGACCGGGTCAACACTCTGGCACCAAACACAGATCCTAACCCAACTACAATTCATAATTATTTTGCACCTGATAACAACCTCCAGTTATTGAATAGTCATTGACGTCTTTCCTTCTCACTAGTTATAACAGAGTTCTAGAAATGTTTCCTTCTGTCAATCAATTAGATCCCTTTAACGACAAAATGACCTCAATTTATCTATTTTGTCACAAGTACACACTCTCTGTATGTTATGATGAGCTTGTTACCTTGTCGTGCCAATTTTCATTTCATAATACCCAGTTTGCTTTCTCTGTGTAGAGTATGCATAGATAGAATATATACGTCATCATAGTGAAACAAAATATGGGAACTTTCCATTTGAAAACATCGTGTTTAAAATCTTACGAAATATTTCATCTTGTGTGGGATACAATGACAGTAAGAATGGGACATCACAACAACCCAGAGAGCCGTGAAAATTTGTGATCGGATACTATTACGGATGTCGCATTTGCTGGATTAGTTTATAAGTAGTCACGGAAGGTATTCGCGGAAATTTTAAAAACAAATGTAATGACATAGATAAATGAAAGAAAACTATCAAAAATTACAAGTTTCTAGGAAGAAAGGTAGCTACATATGAGAAATAAACAGATAACCTCTCGAATAGCTGCTCATAGTGAGGCTTATCTCATCCGGACCAAATAGAGTAATCAATTCAAGTTTAAATAACATTTTTCGCAAATATTTTATTAATGCGTACTGTTAGTGGGTATGTAGATACCAATAATTATACCGGACCTCCACCATGGCAAGCTAGTAAGACAGTCATAGAAATAACAACTAGAACACAAGATGTGAATTGAATCTGGCCGTTTATTTTGGTAAACGACATTTGTTATTTGGTTCAAAGTTTATCATTTAAATTTAATTAACAAGTCTTAGATGGGGCTCATATGAACCTTGTTCCGCCATATTCTGCTGTCAGCTTCTGAATAGAATATGTCATTTATATTTATAGCGGTCTAAAAATAGCCAACGAATTAGTGCGCACGGGCGACAGTTGGACCACCTTGCTCCACCCCCAAATTACCTCCTTCCGCTAATAATTTAATCCTTGTATATAATCACAATCAGCCTGTACAAATAACATTAAAACTAGTTTTAATTTGCATTTATACATTGTTAGCTGAAAAAATATTTATCGATGTCGGAATCTCGCTTGCGTTCATTTATATTGATTAGATGCATGTGCTTGTTGTAAGATTCCGAAGAATCACCTCTATAACAGCAATTCTTATTTTCGCTATGAATTAAATCTAAATGATTTATGTGGTGTCCCAAATAATCAATTGACCCTGTGGTTTCATATAATCACTCTAAGGGAATTGTAGAATACACCTTGAGAATCTTTATACACGAATGGACGTCCTTCCGGAAGACGAAGATAGGTAACAGAACAAAGATTATAAAAGTTCTGTGCCAAAAAAAATAATATCGAATTTTCATGAAATATATAGAAAATGAAAATGAAGACTTGATTGATCAGGGAGTATCTTTCACATTACATAAGTCAACACAATGTCAAATGTTGCTGATTGTACAGATCTTCAACTAATTAATGTTTAAATGTCTAAAATGAACACTGCCTCAACATTAAACATTGGTTCACATATTTTCTGTTTAAATTTTGAGTTTGACCTTCATACCTGCAGCACAAAATTGAATTATGTTCTTATATAAAACACTCGTAATATACCTGATGAAGTCACGTAAAAAGTGACTCGGTTTCACCAAATCTTTATCAAGCGATCACATTATACCTGCACATGCATACGTATAAGGTAGGCATAATGAAACGATAAAGTATCCATTTCTCGGTCATCAACTGACGGGTGTCTCGGCTTAAACTTCTAGATTATATCTCATAGTGTAAAAACTAAAAAAAATTGTTCTAAAATGACTCATACTTTTATTAATGTTTAAAAAATCAAACAAAACATTACTGTAATCAGGTAGTAGAAAGTAGGAACAACGTTTCTATTTCTGTCACAACTTCTAAGAAAGTCCATTTGTCATACTTCTGTTATATACACGTCTGTACGTGCTCGTTCCCATTTTCAATATACACCTGACAGAGTCGCATGCGTTTGCATTGAAAAAAATACACTTCTATTTCTAATTCCCAGAATTTGTTCGAAACCGGAAGAAAGTACCAAAAGTCAAACATGATCACAACAATGTATAATTCATGTATAAAAAGACTGATGTACGATCATAGATATGTTCCATTATGTTAGTCATAAAGCTTTTTTAATCAGTTACTTTTCTATCTGCACAAAAGTAAGCGAACGTTAAGATATGATATGTACAATGTTTAATCACATAAAGCTCAAAACAAAACGACATTTTTGGCACGAATCTATTACATACAAATATTTTACAACTCTTCAGGTCTAACTGGATGCTAATGGGAATACCTCAATGGTTTTAATTTCGAATTAAACAAGGATGGCCGAACTTCTTGACCGTAAAATGTGATCAATTGGGGCGTCGTTTCCATTTTAAGATATAACATGTAATACCACTATCAAATAGTTTTTTTTATACATTGCATGTTATTTTGCTGCTGCGATAACTTAAAAATAGACACTAAATAAAGACATTCTATGTAACACGAAAGGAGTTTAATAAGAAATGTTTATAATACGAAATGTGTTTTTAATAGGAAAATGTGTATAATATGAAACATATGTACAATAGGAAAATGTGTATAATATGAAACACATGTACAATATGAAAATGTGTGATATGAAATATGGGTTACAAAAAATGTGTATTATGTGTGATACGAAAATAAAGTTATTATGAAGTGTTATTGCAAAACTTTTCTTTTAACAATAATGTTTTATTTTCGAAATATGGATATCATAGCAAATGATGATATATTACCTCATATATATATGGTTGTGGGTATCATTGCATTTACACTTTGACAAAAATAATACGTGGTTGGCATATCGTATATGCTGTAAAGCTGCTTCTATGCAAAAACCAAACCTTTTAATTTGTGATGTGATATAGCTCATGGAGTAACTCATACGGTAATGATTTAACGATATCGTCTTGAATGCGACCAGATTCATATGAATTGGGCAAGGATGCATGTCTGTTTTGGCTCCATTAGCTGAAGTGAAACGTCTGTTTTCATGCCACCAAGCCTGGGAAATTTGCATCTCAATTTCTGCCTATATAGAGAAAACATTCACTTCGTGGAAAGCCGACATGTAACCTGTAAGCTTTCATAACTTCAGTGATAATGAATATGGTCAAACTTATCGATGTTGGACCGCAGAGGTTTACTCTTAAGAACTCAATTAGAGGATAAATGCTCCTTAACAATGTTTTTTTTTAAATCTAAGTTGTTCTTTTTTCTAATTTTTATTTTCTATGTTGTTTTTCCTTAGTTATATTGAATTTGAGTTAAGCCTTTGTTGAAACTTATGTATTTTCTATGTTGTTTATTGCCCTAGCTTGAATTGTTTTTTCATTTTTCATTGTGCCCTAGTATTTTATTTTCAATTTTTATTTTCTATATTTTTTTTTCATACTGAGTGTATTTAAGCCTTTGTTGAAACTTTTGCATTTTTGATGATTTTTTTTTGCCCTAGCTGGATTGAATTTGTTTGAAATCGGGTTCTGTCGAGATGTCTGTATTTGTAATGTTGTTTTTTATTGTAAACTGTGAGTAGCAGAACAATTATGTCAAGTTACAATAGAACATGGCGATTTTAGGTGATTACATCTGATTAACATTTACAAGATAAGAATTCCAAATCTGTTGCTTGCACTGTCATTTACGACACATCTTGTATCCGATATAAAAGCATCTAGCCTGGAGTCTTTGGTCAGACTCACAAATGAAAACACTGAAATAGTTACCTCACCGTACAGTTTATCACAATGCAAGTCTTTTCGAATAATTTTGCCGTCCGTAGTAAAATTGATTCCGGCTGTTATGACATTATTTCCGCAAACACTGCAATTTACGGACACATAAAAATAAAGTAAGTGTATGCGAGTCCTTTTCATTTTCAAACCGACATTGCAATTCTTGCCTTTAAGTTGCAGTTTTTCATCTGAAAAAAATATAAATTACATGTACATATATGCGAATCAACCATTGTGAAAGGAAAATAAGGACAAGAAAAAACATTGGAAAAAATTGAACCACATTGCCATTAATGATATTACATAAAATCGTGCTGAAACAATAGACTAATGAGTGAATACGTTTTAAGTAAAGTAACGACCTAAAACATACCAGTGCATGGTTAATGTATTGATAATGATTACATTGGTATATAGGTCGCCTTTATTTATCTATATAAGAATAGTGTTTTTTTCATCACCTGAGACTTCCATTTTGCATGTCATTGAGATATCAGTGGTCAATAAAAATCTGTCATTGCAATTACGGCATACTTCCTTCACGTCGTTATGGATTTTCACCAACATCAACTGAACAAAAAAAGGAAAAGATATTGAAAATTATTTTCAAAATTCCATAATGCCCTCTTGATTTCATAATTTGTCCCTATTCATAAAACGGTACTAATTAAGTGAGTCGTTATTACCTATATGCATGAAAATATACGAAACTCTACGCTGATAGTGACAAGAGTTCCAGGATTACTATTATCGAGAGAAAGAAATCTTATTCCCGAGTGTCTGTTTGGAGACCATTTTAAGATAACATGTTTTCAGTTAAACATTTAATGTAATATCTAAATAAACGTAACTGACAATAAAGGATGTATATATTTGGACAATAGTTTTTTTTCATGTTTGAATTTGTACAAAAACACAAATTTGATAAAATACAGTATAACCTAACAATGAATGAAACTGCATCTTACAGCTGTTTTGTCCTTAGTAGGACTCGTCAGTGATTAGCCTAGATATTAAAACTAGAAGGCGACGGAAGAAATTCCAACCAGTGTTGGTGAAATAATCACACACACACACACACACACACACACACACACACACACACATATATATATATATATATTAATACTTACGAGGTTTATTAATTTGTCGACGGACTGAGAGACATCGTAGCAACATAGTGATCGACCATCAAATGGCTGACCTAGACTAACATCGCTTGGTTTTATTAATATTCCAGCATAGCAGCGTGAGGCATTAGAGATAAAACACAGGCCAGTTTGTTTCCGATCTATAAATAGAGTGTTTCCAGGAGAAGGCTCTGTAGGTTCAGGACGATTGTTCGTGAAAAAAAATAAGTTTATTAAGATTACCAATATCACGAGTAAACAAATATTGAGCAGTGTTGATATCACAATGTTACGTAGTAGAAGACAAGTTGTATCACAGTGGCACTTTCTAATATGGCTGCTGTGAACTGGAGTGATATATCCAGTAGGATGTGGGTTTGGCGGTAGCAACCTGTTCTTTGAGTTGGGCACACTTACAGGACGTTTCGGGGATGTTTGGGACACTTCCTCATATATTGGGTCCACGTCAACTGGTGTTATATAAAAACTGGCAGAATCCTTGTGAACCCTGGATGGCCTTCCGCCAGACTCTATCTGCCCACGGTAGTCAAACCATTGGTCCATCATGTAGAATACCATCCATTTTTAGGATCGTATATCCTTGTTAATCTGGAAACAAAGGTAAATTGTTATGGTAACACCTAAAGAACTACAAGGATAACATGACCAGGTTTGTCTGAAGGTACACTGTTGACTATCGCCTTAATTCATTATAGAAATATTTCAAAAAGTCGGAGCTAGATATACAAAATACTGCGTAATTACATATAGATGGGATAATACAATGTACTTTATACACCGGAGACTTACGGATTATACACAGGTAGATAGCCAATGTGTAAACACCGCAATCTAACTTTAATGCGTGGTGGTAGGTTAACACACACACACATACGTGACAAACTACCTGTATTACATCTTTATACAAACACATCACCTTGTAAACATTTAAATACTCAAATAATATAATATAAAAAATTATTGTTTTTACATGCTAAAACCTCTTCCATGTCTAAAAATACAAGAAAATCGTATGAATGCAAATTAAAAGAGCAACTTACCGGGGTTGACGGACATTCTACCTTAGTCTGAGATTGATAAGTAGTCATGTGACTTAAAGAAACCTGGAATTCCTTCTTTCATTTTAGCACAATAATTAACAGCTGTGCATTAGCAATCCTCAAAATGAAATTAAAACTTTCTATTGATATGGCTGCATATATTTTATTACTTTATATAGCTTACTTCAGTGAACGCTATTCTCTCGTAGTCGGAGTGCATTGTAAACGTAACGGTTTTGATAAAAAACGCTTTCACAATTCTATTTCTCTGTATATTGCCAGGGAATACGTTATTATTTCAAGAGGAAAATGAAAGAGATACGAGTGGATAGTAGATTTTCTAAACGTTTACATGTCAATATACATTAAGTGTACGTTATTGTACTTGTACTTTTTCAGGATTCCCCGTGTTCATGTTTTGCCCCAGTTTAATGAAATTGGAGTTGGAATTATGATTATGTTACCCTGTTGTTATTTCTTGGTGTTTTCTAAACCTTCTATATATGTAACTTTTGTGTACTTTTTTGCCTTTTTACTCATTGTAACACAGTTTTAGGAACGTGTGGTGAGTATAATGAATTTTGTCCACTCATACCGGGATATTTTGTACTATAACTGAAACATCGTAATCCTATCGATAGTTTACGTAGTGTTCACTGACAGTGATATATAGACCTGTTTCACCAAGTTTGAGGACATTTTAATTGTAGTACATAGGTTAAAAAAACAAATCCGACGCTATATTCGTTTGACTTCCTGCTTTACAACATGAGCTTACAATTATATTGAACAAGAACATATTAAATGTATGACATATGCTTTACCGGTTCTGTAATAATGAGACACAATACTATAAATACTAAGGATGTCATTGTGGACATAAAACCCGTTATATACATGTACTTTTGCTAATGATTATGTTCAAAGTTCTTTTTAGTATTAATAAAATACTCACAGGTAGGTTTTAGTTGTGTGTAAGCCAAGAACAACCGTGTATAATGACAAGATAAAAATAACGGGTTGACTCAAGTTATAACCACTTTCTTTGTATTAGTGCATTTGTCCTTTTAACCTAAACTCTTCTCTAATGTACAAACTTTGTGAATTGTTGAATTATGTTATGATAAATCTATTTCTGTATCCACTTCTTATGAACTGCACATTCTTAATTGTAAAGGTACATTTCGTTTCCACTTTTTTTTTCAATTTCCAAAATCATTTTGGATAATGCATCATAAAATCACTTGAATAACATCAACAACATGACCATATCCTAAATGGTCGAACACCCTCCTTATACTGGATAAAAATCTTATTGTAGTCCATTGCGACCTAATTAAGAAAATGCACTCTGAGGTATTTAATCTGTCGTGAGGTATTGGTGTTTTACACTTACGTCCTTTTTTGGGTTCTGAATTGGATTTGGTACACATAGCACAACCGGAGGAGGTAAGGCACAGTCAAAGCATATCAGATTCGGTCAGCATCGTCATTAAAGTTCTTACTTTAACGGTGATCATAGTAATGAGATATCTGCGTTCAAAGTATTGCATACACAAAATATATTGTTTTATAGTGAAGTATATATAGGTATCGATTCGTTAACTTTGGAGTTGTGCTTTAATCTGACTACCCAATTATAACCAAAACATTAACATATTTTTTTTCAAAAAGTGAAAGCAAATTATTGTTTGTGGTCTTACTTGTTTTTCACTCTCCATCCAGCGATAGTTTTTGCCAGGTAGCTTTCATCCGGGTATTGAAGTTGATAATGTATTGAATGTTTCAGAGAGACAAAAACAAATTAGAATCGTAATGATAACATGATGTGACGTGTTAAAGATTAGAGTGACATCAAGGTATCAGTTAGGTACAAAGCACTATTGTGTTTATGTATTAGTCATCCTTCGCAACTGTTTTGGAGTAACCTCTTCCTTTTCTGAGAATGACTTGTCGATAGCCTAGGAAACTTTCTTTTTTTGTGTCATTTATGTCACAACACACCAGTAAACATTTTATCATCATTCCTCAAAATAACTATTTTTTTTTTTGTTATGTTTAAATAACCATTCATTCCTCTTTAACAACGCGATAAGATGAATAGAATGATATGTATAGAAATATAAGAATATTAGGGTAACAAGGAGGAGAATTAAGAAATGACCTTCTTTTACATAGTTAAGGAATGAGTCTGCTGCTCTAGATTTGGCATTGGTGATGTTTAAAGACGTTTGTATCATTGATGATTCAGGATAGAGTATTGAAGTACACTTACCAGTCACGAAAACGTGGCTAAAAACTGCTTCTAGAGGGGATTTTGATAGCGATTACAATGAATGTCAAGTACTTTACTAGAAAATCTCAACTTGTTGTCAAACAACGTCATTTACAGTAGATTTATCTATAATTGTTAATCTCAGGTCATACTGATGAATGTGATTCACCAGGTGAGTCAGTCTCTGATACCAGCGGACAAGTGACTTCAATATACCTAGTTTGTTTTAGATATTGTGTTCAATGTTCATTACGTTGATAAATGCAAGACTTATCACCATTTCTATGATTATAATGTGATATTGTGGCGTATGTATATCATATTGATATTTGAGTTACAAAAGTCAGGTCCGTTAAGGCCATTTGGGAATTGTCAGATCACATTTCGTCAATATTGGGTAAAGTAAGGCAAAAGCTAGGCTTGCTGCGTCAGTCCATATTTACCCATGGAAGGAAAACTGAATTTTTTCATGTATTTTCTCACATTTTGTGTATTGCAGCACGGTGTGGTCAGGTTGTTCAGGAAATTTAATGGGCAAGCTTTTGAAAACTCAGAAACAAGCTGCCAGAATGATTATCGATGTACCAATAAATACCCCTTCCAAAGACATGTTTAAAGTTCTACAGTGGATACCTATTGATAGATACTTTAAGTTTAGAAGATTGTGTATGATTTTTAAATGTTTACATGAAGATGTCCCAGACAACTTATCTATCAATGTCTCATTAGTTAGAAATAGTCACAATAGAACTACAAGATATGCCTGTGATAACAACTTTTTAGTTCCAAAACACAGAACTTTTTTTTACTCAAACCATTTTTTAATATCGAGTATCAAAGATTGGAATCTTTTACCTCTGGAACTTAAGGGGATCAATCGTTTTACTACTTTTAAAAGACTACTAGTCAAACTTTTACTTGATTTGTAGACAATTTTGCAAGATACTGCTGCTTTTTACTTTTTAGAGCAACCAAGTCTTTTATTTGTACACTGTATACTTTTCAATAATGTATGTAATCATGTAATTTTTATCAGGTATCCAACAGATGAAGTTTATTGTTTACTCATACATGTTGTTTTTACTAACCCATTGATATGTACTTTTACTAACAAGAGTGTTACATATTGTATTACGGCCGGGTTCTGGATACAGACACAACACAATAAAGGCATTGAAAAAGAACCATGTGTATTCCTCCGCGTTCACATAAACATGTTACGTAATACACAAACTAATAATCTGTTTCACATCAGCGCTATAGCCCGTTTCATAAATAGACTTGCACTAGTCCGTAGATTATAACTAACACTACAAAGAGGACCATGTGTTAGATAAGCCTTAACCTGTATTTATCCTCTGAAAATAAAGATTATTAGTATTACCTTGATATTACATATACCATATATCAGGAAATCGTGGTCTCTGTTTAATTGTTCGCCCTTGAATTTAAGATGGAAGCGAAAATTTGTTACCCTTATATAACCCTATTATATAAACCTGAGAGGGCGAAATGAACATGGGGCGAATTCCCGTATAATGGAACAAGGGTGAAAATAACCTGGGACGAAAATATTCCGGTATAGAGTATGATTCCCAATAACATGGTATTGTACTACTGTTATACTATCGCAATATCTGCAAATCTGGTTATTTAGGAGAGTTCTTTTGTCACATTTTTAAAGTAAAAGTTCTCAAGTAACAAAAATTACCGTAAACTTTAGTTGGTGGTATTTTTTTAAGTACACTTAATATTCGCCAAGTATTTCATGTCACAAATAAAGAAAAATATCTTGGTAACATGACGTAATGGCCAAAGTTGTTTGAACAGTCTCGAATTGATTTTAATTCACTATATATGTTACATGTCGTTGTCGAAATCATGTCTGGTAGGAATTCTGAAACTTGATCTCAATAATATGTTATTTATGACACGGCATTGTAACTGATATAAGAAACATAACAAAACCATATGTAAATCTAATTAAACCTTGTATTAGACCTGGCATGTGCTTATTAAACTTTAATTGTTTTAAACCAATCATCTAATTCAAATGTGTGATATAACGTAAAATTCTATATAAAATCTGCCTGGTCATGATGATAGAGGAAATGTGTTGTTTTGATTAACTATTACTATTCATAGTCAATTTATAGGCTTCCGTTGACCTTTGCATGATCTCTGAAGGGTATTTGGTACAGCGGCTATGTGTCTTGGGTATTATGTAA